TATTTCTCTATGTTCTTTATCCATCAGTCCTATTTTTGCTCAGTCTTTAAAAACCTTAAAAATTAGGCTGAGCAAACATATAAATAATGCCTCCCTCCTTGTGACCTGTTGTGTTAAAAAAAAAAACTTGCAAGGAATCAACCAGCAGCCACTGGGGAGAGTTGCCAGTCTGGGTACCAAGAGCTCTGATGCCCCCTCAGTGGAGAACTCTGCTCAAGCACAGTAGATGCTAAGCCAAGTCAGGCTCCAGTCAGTCAGTCACAAGATGCTATGGCACCACTGGTCCCCAGAAAGCCGAGAAACGATTTGACCTCTCTGACTACTCTCTCCATATACACAGGACTGCGTGGAACCATCAATCTCTGCTCAACCTCTGCCCTTTCTTAGCGGCTCTCCCTCACTTTCCTCAAACGGGTGTACGGGTGGCTCAGGTGACCCAAGCCCTGCAGGACCATGGCATTTCCTGGTGCCCAAAATGAGTCTAAGGAAAGCCATTCTAAAAGCTCATTGCCCTCTAGTCATGCCGGCCTTCTTTCTGCCCCTCCAGCCCATTACAACGGTTCCCTTGGGGCCTTTGGACTTGAACTTCCCTCAGCCTGAGTTGCTTTCCCACCAGATTACCACAAGACTGGCTCCTTCCTGTTCTTCAGTCTCACTGCAAAAGTCCCTCTTTAAAGAAGCCTTTGCCTCTTCACCCTAACGATGCTATTGGTCCCCAGTTACTCTGTCACTTAATGTGGCTATATTTTCTTCATAGCACACATCTTAGTTGTTTGTTTTCATGTATACTATTTTCTCCCCTGACTGGAATGTAAGTTCCGTAATGACAGAGATTTCATCAACCTTGTTCACCCTTGTAGACTCAGCATCTTAAATCCTACCTGGCACACAGTATGCGCTTAATAGAACTTTAAGAATGAATAAATAAACAAACAAATGAACTGATGAACGAGACAATCTGGTACAGAACCAGAGGGAAAAAGATCAAAGCAGAATTGGTCACCTATCATCAACCACACTGCTACCTTTTTTTTTTTTTGTCCCCAGTTTTCCAAGAAGGACTGGGGTGAAACTACACGTGAATGGTAGAGGGGAGAAGCACAGCCATAGAGGACATGGCTTTTTTATTCAATGCTCTATACATAAAACCACTCTGAAATGATTTGCAGAAGATTCTTCCAATTCAAATAGAGGAGGAAAAAAAACAAGAACGTATTTCGATGTCAGCAAGGTAGTTCTGCCAACCTAATTACACCCCGTGACATGTAATTGTGAACCGCTGAAAGACAAGTGGTGGAGCAAAGCACTTATTACAAATATACACAGAGGTAAGACTGAGGTGTTAATTTTGAGACAACTGTCATAAATCTGATTCCAGGATATTATTCCATTAACATTATTATTATTATAACAAAGAGTGTAAGGAGGATGACGAACTCCTTTCATGAATTTCGCAATACCTGGGAAATTAGGCTTACTAGTCAATGCCTGGCTGAGACATTTGAGAAAATAAGAGGACACAATGAAAATGACAGGATGCTAATTACACCAACATGAAGAGAGTTGTTCTATACATTAGAGACTCATTTAAAATGCATTCTTATCTTTGTTTAGATAACATGTTACTCAATCCAAGAAATGTACACTCCACAGCTCCTCATATGGCAGATTCAGCCTTTATAGAAGGCAAACCTAACGTGAAACAAAAACAGAAAGCCCACATTTACAAAATGAGAAAAGGATGGGAATGCAACTGTGAATAGTGCCTTACAGGCAAACTAGTCATTTTTCTTAAAATCAGAATAGAATGAAAGTATCTCTCCCCTGGAGGGGTTGATAAGTAACAGTTCCTAGTATATTAAAAGGTGACAAAAATCATGAAGTGCAGTATTGATAAATGTTCTACTTACTGCTATTTGGAGTGAAAAACACTCCAAATTCTAAACAGTTGTCGTTTTATTATTTACTTTGTTATAAATTGATTTGTCATTATCATACATTCAAATTGTACAAATGTTTTTTTCTTGCTTTACTGAAATATCAGAATCAGGCTCAAAAACAGACTCAGAGAGGAGAGTTTTAAGGTTATTCATGTGAACTATGATATGTAATATGTAAAATACAGTGAAATCATTATGGATGTTATCCCCAAAGTTTTTAAAACTTTTATTAACAATTCACCCATTTTAGTTCATGTGGGACTGCTTAATGTCATCTACTAAAAAAGAATACTAAGTTTATGTAAAATGTTATTCATTATGATTAAGACCTAGTCACTAAAGAAATCCAGAGGTATGGAATTTATGATCTTACATACATGTTTATAAAATGTGGACTCAGGAAAGAAGCATTTAATTTACCAAGGAATCCTTTGATCTCCAGTGCATTACAACTAATAGGACAATGGCAAATTTCAGAGTAGATGTCTTTTTTTTTTTAATAGATCTTTATTGGAGTATAACTGTTTCACAATACTGTGTTAGTTTCTGTTGTACACCAAAGTGAATCAGCCATATGCATACACATGTCCCCATATCCCCTCCCTCTTGAGCCTCCCTCCCACCCTCCCTATCCCACCCCTCTAGGTGGTTGCAGAGCACCGAGCTGATCTCCCTGTGCTATGCGGCTGCTTCCCACTAGCTAACTATTTTACATTCGGTAGTGTATATATGTCGACACTACTCTCACTTCGCCCCAGCTTTCCCCTCCCCAGCCCGTGTCCTCAAGTCCATTCTCTATGTCTATGACTTTATTCCTGCCCTGCCACTAGGTTCATCAGTGCCATTTTTTTTTTTTTTTAAGATTCCATATATATGTGTTAGCATACGGTATTTGTTTTTCTCTTAGACGTCTTCTTGAGTGGCTCCTACTAGACTTGGGGTTTCTCTACTCCTCTTTAGGGTACAGAATTGACCTACAAGACTGTCATTTTTGTTTCAGTTTGCTTTATAGAGCCCCAAGCAAAGATCTGACCATAAATAAGGCAACAGGGCCCCAGGAGCCAGCTGAGTCATAAACCTCACTCAGTTGCATGTGGCTCAAGGTGTGGGGATCCCGAGAGAGCCAAGCCAAGCAAGTGGAATCAATTTAGGTCAGAGTTAGGAAAAACAGTGCCTCCGTACCCCCAACTGGCAGTGGAAGATACCACAATCCCCCCTCCACTGTTCAAATACAGGGAGAGGTAACTAAGCCCAGGAAAACATCTAGACCAGGGCAGACTATTTCTACAGTCTAAAAAGAAGGAAAAAAAATGGTATTTGACAACCAACCACAAATTTTTAAATGTACGGTTCTCCTGCTTTTAAGCATAAAAGCAGTCTTGTTCCTGCTAAGTTATTATCACCATCACAGTTTTTGACATTTGTGCCCAGTACCATTTGGCCGTAGGGTACTTAGGCTTACTACGTTAAAAAAACAGATTTAGGCATGTTTAAATCAATTTAAATATCTCAAAAAGAAGCAAACACACAGCTTGGGCACACAAACTTAAAAAGAAAAGCTTTATAGATTGGCCTACAGGTCAACAAATTCTGGTTTTGGCAGACTGATACCAGAAAGGAGCTATAGAAAATAAATAAGTTTCTCTGTATGAAAAATACTATGCCTCTGGTTCCCTCAGGTCAGAACATGGAACTGTTAGCAAACATGCCCTGAAAAACTGCAACTCTCATGAAGTGCTAAAAACTCCCAAATAAACACGGTCCCTCAAAACGGTGTACAAATCAGACACATTTAACAAACGACCCTTCCTTTGCCAGTAATTCCACTCAAATTAAGTCCAGCAGTCTCTTCAAAGGGACCAAAGAAGACCCCTTGTTAAGACAAATTCTATATATAGACAGCCAAGACAATTACATGAGGCACATAACCAAATATATATAATGATCCTAGTTTTTACATTCCCATTATCTTCATGAATATAGGATACATGTCAGTCTAAATGACCTTCTCAGACCTCCTCAAGGATTAAAACTACCAGCCAGCTTTTAAAAAGTATACGTATATAGTAAAGATCAAAAGTAAATGTTCTGGTCAGTTCTTATCTACTCATGGGTTTCACTAAGAATGTGTGCAGCTTTCAGGGAAAACACCACGAATGACAGCTGTTCAAAAGCATAGAAATTAATTGGCAGCAGGAATTTCCTTGACTAATAGGGAAAAACTTAAAGTCACATGTTTTGATGAGCTTATTTTTCCCATCCTTAGTCGAGCATATTCACTGTTAATGATTAAGATTTTCAAACAGAAATAGAACCAAGAAAATCCTGAGTACATAACCAAGTAAAACACTGAGTGAAACGCAGTTACCTGTTACTGAATGAACAACAGCATTAATGAATGAATTTTAGGCATAAATTACATATAGGAAAAGGTTCAACTTTCAGGTCTTGATTTTCCATAGGAACTAAACTGGGATGACAGTAAGAATAATACATTTATTATATTAAAAAATAGTAGCAAGACAAGTGACCCCCCCCCAACCTTCCCTAGTGAGCCATCTGCTTTGAGCTGTTTTTCTAGCAGCCGTGATAGATTTACACTGATTCATCCACAGTCTCTCTGACACAGGGGCTCTCAAGTCGTTGCCCTTGTGACCAGTGGTGAGAATGCATGAGACAGCTGGTCGGGATTACGCGAGCAGCCTGTGCTCTAGAACCAAGCTGTGTTACTCTGTCCAGAGCTATGACCGTTGGGCTCGTTAGCATCATGCTCTTACCACCTGAGCTAACTAGCCCCTGATTAGCCACAATCCAACATACACCATTCTGGGGGCACAGTGTGTTCTCAATCCCAGCAACAATGTGAGTGTTTACTCTCAAGGCAACTGAATTGAGCCCATGACACCCAAAGGCTCATGCATGGTGGAGTATACACACGCCATCCCTCAAGGCAGCAGTGAGATGGCCCTTCCAACCTAATCAAACAATTGCTCTGACAGAGCTCAGGGAAAGCAAGAAGTAGTCAAAAAACTTCCCCAGAGCCACAACAGAACAACGTACCTGGCCATCCCCAGACTCGGAAAGTTGGCAGGAACAATGAGTACATCCAGCCTGGAGAACGGGTGTGTTCCCAGGACAGAGTGTGCTGCTGAGAGGCAAGGAGGGATCAGCGGCAGAAGGGTCTCTTGGCAGGCACCCTTCAGGCACACTGGAGCGAAGACCCGATGAGGAATTATCTCCTGGGTGGTGGCAGAAGCATTCTGGAAGCGGCAGGGGTATTCCATGTGACCACAAACACCAGCATACCTGGGAACAACATGAAATAAGTAGATGCGTTTTATTGGTAAATCAGGTTTATTCCCTTTGCCATGGAGGTGAGGAACTCTCACAGACACAGACAACTTCTGGGAGACAGTGGCTCTGATGGGCTTATAAGCAAAGCAGTTCATTTTGGTTCCTGGCTTGTCTGTTTCTGCACAGTGGTGAAAAATGACAGGTCAAAATACTTATCAATGTGCTGAATCGACTATTTTCAATCTAAGCTAAGTAAAAGTAGTAAAATCTTCTTTTAGAATAAATAGGGGGAACCTCCAAGATTCAAAATAACAAAACAACCCCCCCACCAAAATAAAAAGCAATTTCCTGCCCTCAGAAACGTGCCTTTCAAATGTCACTACGGGGAAAATCTTCTCCAATTCAGGGACAATTTGCAACTCAGAAAGGAAGGGACAGTGCCACCAAGTTAAAGATCTCACTCTGAAATGTTCTACAATAAAAGATACAGACTCGGGCTTCCCTGGTGGCGCAGTTGTTGAGAGTCCGCCTGCCGATGCAGGGGACATGGGTTCGAGCCCCGGTCCGGGAAGATCCCACATGCCGCGGAGCGGCTGGGCCCGTAGCCATGGCCGCTAAGCCTGAGCGTCCAGAGCCTGTGCTCCGCAAAGGGAGAGGCCACAACAGGGAGAGGCCCGCATAAAAAAAAAAAAAAAAAAAAAAGATACAGACCCAGTGATGTATCATGCGAACCAAATGACAAAGCTTTTCAAAAGAATACAATCCATTTTACTGAAAAGTAACCTAGCTGTTCTTTACAAAGGCCATCAAAAGTTGTGCTGTTAAGGAATACAGAGGCACTTTGATACAGTATTTCCCCCAATCCACTTTCAATACAAATTTAACTGAATCAACCTTTTAAGGAAACAGACCAGAGCCCAGCCCATACCATCTGACCACTGCCAGTTATTCTGTCAAAGGTGGAGCTGAAAAAGAATTCCTAGAACCTGACTCAGAGGCCTCAAGAGAACTTATCTACCCAAAGAAACCAACATCAAAGGAAACTCTATTTTTCCAACGGTTAACACATCCTTTATTCAAACAGAATGGAAAGCCTCTCTAATTTAAATTTACAAATTATAATTCTAACCATAGGAGCTTATTAGATTCATACTGAATACTGAAAAACCTGAAAATTCTGGCACATCCCAATAAGGGCAGACTGCAACAATAATTCCTCTCCACGTTTCTGAAGTGCCTTTCACCCATCCAAGGCCAGCACTGCCCAAGGAGATCCACACAGCTATGGAGATAAGCCTTGCTCTCCACCAGCCTGGGACATAGAACACAGCTTCCAGCACTGATGACATTTCACAACAGTTTAGGGTAAGAGAAATGGGTGGACACCCATAAAAACTTCTGCCAGGATAAAGTGACAGGAAGAATATTATTATTGACATTGAACGCTAGCCAAAGTCCCTGGATTGATAACCTTGCCTTACAGAGAGTGAGTATAGGTGCCTATTGGTAAACATCTAACTGAAAAGGCTGCAACTGTCCACCTAATGACAAGTACTGTGCTGGTGCATCAATTCAACCAAAGGTTAGAGAATAGTTTGGGGTAGCCAAAGGTACACCCAGAAAAGCCACTTCGCTCAAATGAAAAGGTGAGTTAAATTGTCTCTGGACAGGAATGGCATTAGCCAGGGTAATGAAGGTCATTCCGGTTGTGTGAATCAGCACCATTTTTCATAATCAAAGCCTGGGAGAACATGCAGGACTTTAAGGCAATCTAGCTATAATCAAGCTATGTGAGACCATTAAGGCTCCCAATAAAAAGGGAAATGGCATCTGGGAAGCCACACGTGTGTTCCTAACGTGGGGATCAGGAAACCTAGGCTTCAGAGTCTGTTCTCAGACTGGCTAGCTGTGACCTGAGGCAAGCAACTCAGTATCTGGGGCCTCTTTTTTCCTCGTCTCTTAACATGGTCTCACAAAAGTGGCTGCTGCGGGGAGGGGAGGAATTGATTGGAAGGGGGTGTGAGGGAACTCACGGGGGTGATGGAAGGTTCTCTGTCTGGTTTAGGGTACATACAATCATCAAAAGCTCATCAAGCCAAACACTTAAGATCCATGCATTCTGTTGTATGTTAATTATGCTTTAATTAAAACCAAACAAACAGAAAACCTAAAATGGTTTCTAAGATTTCTTCTGGCTCTGTGATTCCATGACAACCCACCACAGAAGCCCCTCTTCATACAACAGCCATGTTCCTGAAGCAGTGAGGCAACACTGTACTTGCATAGAGTCAAGAATAGTCTTCCACAGAACCAGTATTAACTCAAAGGTGCTGTACCTTCCTTTCACACTAACCTTCAGTTATTAATCTCTGTGTATGTGCCTGCTCCAATATACTCTCAATACCAACAAATCAAGCATTTGTAAATACCTCTTCCTTGTGCCCAGACTTGTAACCAGAGTCAATATATTAACAGTACAGATTATTAATAATATTCGATTGTTAATTAATAATCTGTAATACTAACTATAATAAGAATAAACAATAACTCCTACCACAACTGCTACTGAACATTTACTGTGTGCCAAGCACTGTTCTGAACACTTTATGTACATTATCCCAATTAATCCACACAACATTCCTAAAGAGTAAGAACTATTCTTTTCATCACATTGTGAATTATCATAAGCTCCTCACTGCTGACCCTCCTTCTCTACATACTTCATGATGCTTCTTTTTTTTTTTTTTTTTTTGCGGTACGTGGGCCTGTCACTGTTGTGCTCTCTCCCGTTGCGGAGCATAGGCTCCGGACGCGCAGGCTCAGCGGCCATGGCTCACGGGCCCTGCGGCTCCGCGGCATGTGGGATCTTCCCGGACCGGGGCACGAACCCGCGTCCCGTGCATCGGCAGGCGGACTCTCAACCACTGCGCCACCAGGGAAGCCCTTCCTGCTCCTTTTTGTAGTTATTGCCCATTAATGGGCAAGAGTGGGAAGAACTGGTGAAATATATGTTAGGCTAGTAAATGATGGGAACCTGTTCACTGGTTCCCTCTCATACAATTTCTAGGCTGAAATTATTTTATAAGAGGTCCTTCCAAGGAGCAAGAGTGACCGTGTTTTACTCATAATCCCAAGATTGAAAACTGTCAGGAAGTTCTCCTTCAGCCATCCTCTTGTTTCAAGAAGGTTCTGAACTAGAACCACTTGACACAAACGTTTCCCTGTCATAGGTTCAAAAGGAATGGCTGGAAAAGTCTCCCTTGGGAATGCATAGACTTTACTCAAAAACTCCTTCCTCGGTTCAACCTGACAATTTAGTAAATATTTCCAGCATCCTTGCTCTATTCAAGGCACCTCAGAGGATGCTGCTGTGTACACATGTATGAATAAATCTCCAACCCTATCTTTTTTTAAATTTTTTTTGCAGTACGCGGGCCTCTCACTGCTGTGCCCTCTCCCGTTGCGGAGCACAGGCTCCGGACGCGCAGGCTCAGTGGCCATGGCTCACGGGCCCAGCCGCTCCGCGGCATGTGGGATCCTCCCGGACCGGGGCACGAACCCGCGTCCCCTGCATCAGCAGGTGGACTCTCAACCACTGCGCCACCAGGGAAGCCCTCCAACCCTATCTTTAAGGAGCTTTTTCTCTTGGGAGAAAAAATTTTAAATTCTGAAAGGTACAGTGACACAGTTTACACAATTTATTAACATATTTCAGCAAGCGGATTAGATGTTTGCTTACCGTAAAAATCACGAGTGTTCAAAATCCCAGCACCAGCCCCCAATGAATTGTTGACAATGATGTCGATATATACAGTGATGTAGTAGTGTCTGGAAGCTGGATGCATTTTCTCAGGGCATTCAGTACATTGCAAAGCAAATTGAGATGGGTGCAGTAAGAGACGGAAAGCCGAAATACCTTGAGGGAGCAAGGGCTGGAGAGCTCAAACCAAGCCAGAAAGATATGGAAAGGCTTCTCTCATTGTGAAGGGTGTACTGGAAATTGGCATTTTTTCCTATGATTTATATATATGTATAATATGTTATATATATATTATTCCTTCTTTTCCAGACTCTCAAAGAGAGAGAAACAGCATTTATCCTCCAAGGTCCACAAGGGAATTTTTCATCGCCTTTACAACTCTAAAGAAGACCTCTTCCCCTACCAAGTCTTCCCTTCTTTAGAATGAACAACCTCAAAGACTTTTCTTCTTTGGGTTGCCTGCTTTCCATGCTTTCAATCATTTTTCCTGAGTCCTCTGAACTTCATCCAAGTTTCTGTGTCGTGCTTAAACTGTATGGCCCCCAAGTGAAGACAATGCTTTAACAAAGGCCTTTTGAGAGGTTAAACATAACACAAAGATTCCCCTGTGGCTGGAGAAGGTTATACTGCAGCCAAAGAAAGTTGATAAACTTTCAAAAGTTTACCTAAGTGCCTGTTAACTAATGTATTTGCTCACCCAGAATGGGCTAGAGCACGTGTGGAACTGGAGCTGGAAGAGAGAATGCTCTTCCGATAATTTAGGCCACATGAACAGTGATCAAAAGTTCAGTGACCAATACTTTGGTCAAATTTCTGGGACCCAGATGAACACTTCAGTCAAACGCAAGCCTGTGGTATATAAGGCCCCTGCATACGTTACATTTACATGAATTGAACTGGCGGTCTTAGGAAGGTTTGAAGTAGAAAAGGGCAGCGGGGCGGGGGGGGTACTGGGGGGGGAGCCAAGGGGACCAGATGTGAACATAACCAAAAACACCACTGCGGTTGGCACTTCAGAGCACCTCTGTTGGCAAACTTAGCATGGAGCCAAAGATTTAATGGATAAAAACACAAAGCCACCCTTTGATGACTAAAGACAGCACACATGAAGCACGCAGCCAGGGAAGGATTAAGCAAATGTAAGCTACTAATTTATCAGCAGTACATTTTTGATGAACGGAGGGAAAACTTAGTCATAGCATGTCAGACGTGGAAGGGCGTGCGGGAGGGACTCCATTCTGCAGGCCCTTGTTTCCATACAAGGACATGTTTCCCCGGAGTGGTACTCTTGACCTCTCTCCACAGCTGATCAGACTGGCTTGCCACTCTGGGCTTTCTCTTGTTTAATCCGCTTGCCCACAGAGGGATTACTTTTGGCTGTTGGGCAGTCTGTGTGCATCTGTGGAGGCTGGCAGAGGTCCAGCTGAGTGGGTCACTGGGTGGGTGGGTAAGTGTGTCTAATTTGGCAATGAAGTACTAGAAAGCCCACTGAAACTGTGCACCTGAACACTCCCTCCGCCCAGCTTCTGTCAACCAAAAAAACCCTTTATTTTGCTCTCCTTCTGTCTGTTTCTCAATTGGTTCTGACTCAGGAGGACAACACAGGAAACAGATTTACCCCTTCCCCTAAACCCCATTAGGAATTTCAGATACCATCTCTTCCCAGAATCCCCACTCAATCAGTCCATATCCTGCTCCCATCACAATTATGGGTGCAAGAAGAGTGAAAAGCCATTGCAGTTACTTCTGGGCAGCAAAGAGCACACACGAGAAATGGCTGCTGCCCACTCCCCGACCTCGTGTCTCTGGGAATATGGCTAGAAGGACAAAATAACAAATTTCTATCTTTGCTTTTGCCTCTCTTCCTAAGGCACACATTTTTCAATGCACACCTCCCCTAAGAGTCAATGAGTCCTGAGGGTGTAGATGAAGAGCACAGTGCTTCTTCGCCACAAAGAATCTGAGAACCCCGAACAAAGTCTTTATTCTACAGAGAAGGGAAGTATGGCTTGCCCAGAGACATATCCAATCAGTAGAAATGGCACCTTCGGCCTCAAAGGCAATGCTCTCAACTTCTGCTTTCTATTCCAACATGACAGGTTCCAATCAACAACCGTGGCTCAGTCATGGTGCTGACTCTCCAGGTGGGAAGGTAGATCAGACTCCAGGTGAGGTGTGGATGTGACATAGAGTTTTTAAAAGTCCCCAGGCAAGATTCTGAATCACCTGTCTAGGGGGTCAAGCCCAGATGTGAATCTGGGCATTGTAACTCAGTAGGGTTATGAACATGAACAAGTTGCTGTCTGAAGCTTCAGTATCTTTATGTGAAAAATGGAGCTAATAAAGCCTATCTAACTTACAGGCATATCCTCAGAACTAACTGAGATGACATTTAGATCAAGACTTTCCCTGACTGCCACATCCAGTGGCTTCTGTATCAATTCAGGATGGGCTAGGATATGCTGCAGTAAGAAACAGCCCCAGTTTTTCAGTGGCTTAACAGAAAAAAAGGTTATTTCTCACTCACACCAAGGGCACTGTGAATCCAAGGGACTCTCCAGGGCACCTGTCCTCCCCACTCAGAAGTCTAGGCTGTCTGCAACGGCAAAGTGAGGCCTACTCTGTGATCTCAGTAACAGGAAGAGAGGATCGGAGGGTTGCACGTGCAATTAAACGTTCCCATGTGAAAGCAGCATGTCACTTCTGTCCACAATTCTCTTCTTCCCTCAAGAGTGCATAAGTAAAATCCAATAAGCAGTCTAGGATCCTCTATATAGCTCAGGGCTGACAGTCCAAAATAGGCAAGTTACTGAGTAGCAAGTAGAAATTACTTCCCTTCCTCCAAAAAGTAAATGCGGGCAATACGTCGTGCCTATGTTAAGAGAGGCCTCAATGGCTTTATCTCCTAAGGATACCAACCACTGTTGTCACTGTGGTAAGAATGAAAGCAACGTAGCAAAATAAAACAAAAGGAATTTGCACTAAGAGCGTATCTTAGTTGGTTTTCAAGGATGAACTAAGCATCTGTGTCATTACTCTCCACCAAAAGGTACTGACTTAGTGACTTTCTGTAAACAGGAAAAAAGATTAAACCAAGGTGGCTGTCAAAGCCCTAGGGATAAAGCATGATGCAACAGCGCACAGTGAGCACACTTCTGTGCCTCATATGTGCATTCTCCTCCCTAGTGGCTCTGAAAACTACAAATAGGTGAATGCCTTGGGAGGCTGCAAGTAAATATCCTAAGGCCTATACTAATTTAAAAAAAAAATTTTTATTTTCTCTGATCGACCCTGAAAAAGAAGACATTGCTGTTGAAGTTAACAGAGCCCTGATCCTGATCGGCAGGATTCTTGTAACCCAATGGCCGTCTGACAGCTTCCTCATGTCCTGTGCTCCTAAGGAGGCTGACTCCCCCCACGTTTGTAGGGCTGCCCCTACAAACGCACTGCTAATGGCAGTCTCGGAACCAAAACAGCAGAGTGGCCTACAAGGTAATCCATCAGACAAGCAACTTCTTTCTATTAAGTTGTGTTTTTGAACAAGTACTGAAAACCAAAGTTAAAAGGTGTAGAAGGAGAGTATTGAATCTGAAGATTCTGTTGACTTAATGAAACACATAAAAATATTTCACCTGACTACACAGAGGGTTTCATATATATTTCTCTTTCTTTCTGCATAAACAATATGCCCACATTTCTGCCTCTCAACTCTCTTTCTCTCCCAGCAGGGCTTTTCCTGCTTTGATTAATCATATTTTGGTTTAATTTCTCAGCAGGAATGACTCACATTCCCAGCGCTTGGAATAAATGCATCATACTGCTCCCTCAAGTGTTTGTTTTTCATCAAGTTCCCAAGTACAAACCTGAAGTCAGCCTCGAAAGGTGAGAAGGATTTCTCTGTTGCCAGATCATCTGATGAGCAGATCTCTGGCTTCGTTTCTGTCCAGGATCCTACTGCAATTGTGAAGGTGGAGGCTGGCATTGGCATGGTTACGTAGTAATGCCAACTTGAGCATCCTATAAACAGAGAGAGGAACACATAATGAGGCCAATGTATGGTCCTAGACCTTACTCTGTAATTTTTCTCTTTAGTCACTTGAAGAGCTTGTGTGCTAAGCTGGGATGAGCTAATTCTTGGAGGTGGGTCATGTCAACTGTGGGGGCGATATTCTAGGTCTCAGGGAAAGCAAAACAGGGATGATGGATTCAAGACAGCCAAGGAGATCTGGATCTCTTCCAGGGATCAGTTTGAAGCCCTTCAAGTGAGGCTATAAATGAAGGGTGGTCAAGGTGGCCACTAATAGCTGCAAATGCGTAAGGACTTTGAGGTTGTATGCTGCTATGGAGTCAAGGACATGGCTCATCTGTATTGCCTAGCACGGTACTTGGCATAAAAAAGAAGATGCTGTGTTGAATGAATGAATGAGTGAGTGAATGAACAAATGAATGATCGCTTCTGTGCTGCCAAACTACTTTGTCTAAATTCGGTTCAAGTCAATCTAAAATGCATACAGTAAAAAACAATGAGACTAGGGAAGGAAAGTATCTGGATTTTAGTCCCAACCCTGAAACTACTTATCTATGGAAGTTCAGTCTTATCCCTCACCCTTTTTATCTGTTAATGTATTGGGGTGGTCCCAATTCCTCATTAAGCAGATGAAAAACAGGTCTACAGAGGTTCAGGGGAGCCAAGGACTCCCAGCTAGTTTGTAACAGGGCTGGAATTCGTAGCTGGGGCTCCCTACCACAGCCAAAGGTATACCCTCCATTTAGTCCAAACCATAAAGAAGGTTTTTTAACCAAAGGAACAAATGACTAAACTTATAACACTATGCTTCCTTTCTTCTAAGACGGGAAAATGATTTTAATGTTACTGAAATAAATCTCAATGTATCACGCAACCTGATTTAATATATTATTTTTTCTGAGCATCTGCTATAAATTAATGGTGTGTCTTCAGGGATTTGGTATCACCTCACATTATAGAACACAGTTCTCCACTCTTCATGTTCCCATGGGGGGAACTTCCACTAGAGTAACATCCCTAGCCTCTCTTTCCACCCCTTACTGACTCCCTTTGAGGAGCTATTCTTTTCTTTCTTGTTTTAAGTTTTTGAGGGTTAAACACTTATAGAGTGGCCTGTGGTCATCCAATTTGGTCAATGAGTGAATAAGATGTCAAATTCAGGGTAGAAATATTACCATGCCTATATTGACCAGCAGACCTCTAATGACATTTTTTAAAGTGCTTTACCAGTAAAAATCAGTAATAGGTTAGATTTTGCTCTCCATATGCTTGGATTTTTGTCTCTCAACTAATTCTGAACTTCGGAAGGTTAGTGGGGTCATTATTTATTACCCTCTGAAACTCTACCAACTTAGATCCAAAGAAATACATGACAGAACTTCTCTGATAAAAAACAAAATTTTAAATAGGAAACAATGACAAAATAAACATGATATCAAGTTTGAATAAATATGATATGATATCACGTTTGGAAGTTATTAGAGGAGATACTTGAAGAAGAAATGTAGAAGGGCATGCTGCTGGAAACCCATTACAGAGGCAGCCATTCTCTCAAACTTGCTTGTAAGTTTGATCCTGGTTCTAGAATCAGAATGGCCACTCTTGAGATCACTTCCTCCACAGCTGACTAAGAAGCTGAAGGGATGCTCCTCTTTAAAGAGACAACCAAATCCAGTGATGCTGGAGACAACCTGATGACGTGCGTAGCTTCTTCTGGGCTTGAAGGAAAACCACAACTTTAAAGAAAATGGCTGCTGTGATCCCAAGCCAGTAAGAAGAAGGCAGAGACAATCCCAGCAGTCTTGATAAAAACCTGACATGGATCTGACGTGGCATGCTGTACTGCACCCACCTCCCTAATGTTTCTACTTTCTTATAACTACCTCAGTCGCAGCCTGATGTCTCCCTGTAGCAGCTCCATGAAGAACTTCAATTTGGACTGAGCAACACAGTAAGAGCTGGCACAAGTTGGGTGGGGGGAGGTGGAGATAGAAGAAGAGAAAAGAACGTATGGGTAAAGAACTAAATGTTTTGAATATCCTAGGTTTAAAAGAGAAATTTTAAATAACAAGACTCTCTTGGTCAAAGGGCTGTGGTCTGGTCATTCTTTCTCTGAAACATATCTTGGAGTGTTTAACATGGGCCACTGAACCTTCCTTTTAAAACTTCAGACTCTTGGGGCTTCCCTGGTGGCGCAGTGGTTGAGAGTCCGCCTGCCGATGCGGGGGACACGGGTTCGTGCCCCGGTCCGGGAGGATCCCACGTGCCGCGGAGCGGCTAGGCCCGTGAGCCATGGCCGCTGGGCCGGCGCGTCCGGAGCCTGTGCTCCGCAACGGGAGAGGCCACAACAGTGAGAGGCCCGCGTACCGGGGGAAAAAAAAAAAAACAAAAAAAAACTTCAGATTCTTGGGGGTTCAGTAAATAAACAGCAATAGTGAGGATTTCAGGAAAAAATGGAAGATTGAACACTTATCTGATAAGGAGTTAATATCCAAAATATATAAGGAACTCATACAACTCAATAGCAAGAAAACATACAATCCTAGTTAAAAAATGGGTAAAGGACCTAAATTGCTTTCTCCCAAAACCCAATTAAAGGACAGTAAAGGGATTGTTTTAAAGGCTTAAACCAAAAGGAACAAGGAGAAAGTATAGGAGACAATTACCGCAAAATATTGGAAGCCACAATGCAGGTGGGAAGAGTGGCGAATGACATGGCAGCCCTGAATCCTAAGTTAGCTGTGGGAAAGACAAGATTCACCTCATTTTATCCCCCAGATGCCCCCAAAAGGCTGGGAGTAGAAGAAGTACTAAACTAAGCAGGACAGGCTGGATGACTAAGAAGGGCTCAGATCCCTGGATGGCTTCCCCTACTCCCCACACCTGGACTATCTGCCCATCCCCCACACACACACACACACCAGCAAATAACTGGAGGTTTATTTTCTAGAGAATAAAAGAGAGGGCCTCTAGGGGGAGAATGGCATAGTTGAAGGCAAACTGAATGGGATTAGATGAACATATGCATATCAGATACTGAGACCATCAGCTATTTCCCCTTATTTGGTTCCCAAAATGCTGACAACCAGGTTTTTACCTCCAGGCAGGAAAATGAAAAAACCTGACCAACCCAAGAGAAGGATATTGACATTGGAGGTTCCCTATGGTCAGCCTATGATGAAACTTACAGATGACAAACCTTATGTGTTCACTCAGTGCTCCAATCAGCATTTTAGTCCCCTACCCTCAAACACCTACAGAGAAATCAAGGACCTTCAGGCATCTTTAGAAAGCCCCTAATGCAAAACTGAGAGACCCAAACAAAGAGAAACAAGCAACTTGGAGGACAGTGACCATGCAAGAAGAAGAAAACTTCAAAAAACACCAAACAGATACACACTGAAAGTTCAGAGAATTTATTGCAGTGCTGAAACAAAAACAGTATAAGATTTAAAAAGAGGACTTGAAAGGAAAGAGAATTAAGGATAGAAGGAAAGAAAAAAATTAAAAGGAGTAAGATGGGATATAAAGCTGAGGAAATCTCCCTACAAAGAAAAAAAAGACAAAAACATGAGGGAAAAATAGAAGAGCAGTTCAGAAGGTCCAGTATCCAAGTAACAGAAGCTCCAGAAAAAAGACAACGGAGGAAATAGAAGGGAGAAAATCGTCAGCTAAGAAATTAGAGAAAATTTCCCCAAAGTTAAGGGACCATGAGTTTTCAGATTGAAAGGGCACACAATACCCAGGACACTGGATACAAATCCAGCCACATCATGATGCATCATTATGAAATTTAGAAACCTGAGGATAAAGACAAGATCCTACAAGCTTCCAAAAAGAGAGAGAAAACAAAATTCACATACAATAAGGACATTTTCAGACACGTAACGTTTCAAAAACAATTCACCTCCCACACATTCTATTCTCTGGAAGCTACTAGAGTATGTAAAATAGGCTTCAGGGCTTCCCTGGTGGCGCAGTGGTTGGGAGTCCACCTGCCGATGCAGGGGACACGGGTTCGTGCCCCGGTCTGGGAAGATCCCACATGCCGCGGAGTGGCTGGGCCCGTGAGCTGTGGCCGCTGAGCCTGCGCGTCCGGAGCCTGTGCTCCGCAGTGGGAGAGGCCACAACAGTGAGAGGCACGCGTACCGCAAAAAAAAAAAAAAAAAAAAAAAAATGCTTCAAAAGGAGGTAGTAAACCAAGTAAGAGGAAGACAGATGATCCAACACAGGTTCAAAGGGAATCTGTAGAATAAAGTCTACTTCTGGGTATATACCTGAAGGAAATGAAATCACTTATCTCAAAGATAGACGCACCCCATGTTCATTGCAGAATTATTCATAATAGCCAAGACATGGAAACAACCTAAGCCCCAAATGACAGAGGAATGGATAGAGAAAATGTGATACACACATGCACTCACAGAGGAATATTATTCATTCAGAAAAAAAGAAGAAAATCCTGCCATTTGCAACAACATAGATGTACTTTGACGGCATTATGCTAAGTGAAATAAATCAGACAGAAAAAGACAAATACTGTATGTATTTGTGGAATCTAACAGAAAAAAAAAACAATCATAGAGAAAGTAGATTGGTGGCTGCCGAGGGTGGTAGGTAGAGGGCAGTTGGGGAGGAAATGGGTGAACGCGTTCAAAGAGTACTAACCTCCAGTTATGAGATGAATCAGTTCTGAGGATGTAATGTACAGCATGGTGACTACAGTTAACAATATTGTACATTTGAAAGTTGCTAAGAGAGTAGATCTTAAAGGTCCTCACCACACATGCACACACACACACACACATATATATATCTATATAGAGAGAGATATAGATATACATAGAGAGAGAGATTCTTATTGAGGTCATTTTGCAATATATACATATATCAAATCATCACATTGAACATCTTAAACTTACAAAATGTTACATGTCAATTATATCTCAATAAAGCTTAGGGGGAAAAAAGAATGAAACACTATGCACAA